GCTGTCCATGTTTGTCTATATATGCTGCGGCTTCTGGTGCTTCATCCAGATGTTTCTGAAAACAAATCCAATATTTGTAAACATAGTCCCTTAATGATAATTCTCTACTCAGGCATAAGGTTGTACAATCTTCATAGCCGTATAGATTATATATCAATCTTAGACCTGTTCCACATATGTGATCTCGAGCAAAAGAAATTATTTATATATCTTTTCTTTCTTCAACATCCTTCACTGAATGGACGTCCTATTTTTCTATCGAGAGATACAACTGCCCATTTTCTATAAAACCATATATGGCTGAGATAGCAAACTACTTTTGATAGATTTGAATGAAAATGAAACATAAGGACGTACAATCTTGTGTAAAAACTAACCGCGAACATGTCGATTAATTCTGCTATACCTACTTTTTTTTACAGTATTGACTACGACTTTCTGTCCATACGGTCATAAAATCAACAAACTACTGAATGGTGCATAACTCGATCTACTATATAACTGTTTCTGCTAGAAGATAGTCGAAATAATTGTCCAGAAAAACGGTTTGAAATCCAGAAGGGTGATATAATGCTTTTGCTTGAAAGGAAGTGATGTCCTCAGCATATCTATCTATATGCCATCATGGTTTCTATGAACAAAATTTCAACTCATTTCCAGAAGAAAAAGATGTACAGTCGATCAAGTTGTGCACCATTCAGTGGTTTGTCGATTTGTGATCGTATTAACACCAAGTCTATACTGTAAAAAAAAATGTAGATGTGACAGAATCAATCATCATTTTCACAGATGTTTTTTACTTTTGATTCTATGTTCTTGCCTTTCATCTTCGTACAAATATATTTAAAATCGTTTGAGATCCCAATTATATATATTTTTATTGAGAATTTTAAGCGCTATCTCTCGATAAAAATCAAGCGAAGAATATTGAAAAGTAATTAAAAGTAGAAACATTTTGAGCTCGCACAAAATCTGTTATTTACTTCAACTTGATGAATATTATAAATAGGCAGTATGATATAGAGATGAAAATTTTTATCATAATTCATCGAATACAACTCCACTTTATACTGAACAACGTCAGCACATCTGCATGCATCTATCAGAAAATCAATGTTTAAATGTCACACATAAGCGAATCTATCAATGGGAGTTTGACACATTAGTGTGTACGCTCGAATAGAAGAGTGAATAAAAATTCTATCCGCTGTTGAACAATATACTTAGTATGTGGTGTTTCATATAAATAAAGTTAATATATATTGACGATGAACTATTAATTAAACATAATCCATCGTTCATGTTGAACAATATTGTAGTTGTCTATCACAACAGCTTGCGAATAAAATAGAACAATTATTATTATTCATATTAGTATTAAAACAAAAGAGATACATGGTACTAGTAAGAAAAACATACCTGAATTTAAGTATCTATTACATTTGAATTAGATTTAAAGTTTATTGATGTCAAAGTTATTTTCAATACTTTGAACATACTATATCTTGAAAGGCAATTACGAAGATTCATGCCGATTTTGATCGATACAAAAGAACTTTGAAAGTATTTATTTCATTCATGCAAGATCTATAAAAAGAATCCAAATGATAACGCAATTATCTAAGTGAAAATTTTATCTTTGTTAAATTAATATTGAGCTATGGAGAAAAACATTATATATTTTTAAAGACGCATAATTATCTGTTATAAATTTACATGAATTAAAATGAAATTTGCAGAAACTTGCAGATGTTGACAAGATATTTTTCAATAAGATCTTGCCTAAGGTTATATTATTGAAGAATTATTTCCATTGAAATGCAAAACAAGACAAAATCCTTTCTTATTTTAGTTAATTTTTTCTATCAGTAACATATAAGTAATAATCTTACTCCAATTTTATTTCAATACAATATTTGCTAGTGTAAGCCATGTAACAGCAACATATGAAATATCTTGGAACTATTGTGAGTCATGGACCATGACTCATGGTCGAATGTTGATACAACTCAATGACGACAAATATTAATTTCAAAGTACTACAGTGAATGTGAAAGAATGTCAGGCTATAGTGGCTATAGAGTTAATCATATTGAATAAAAATATTCCAGTAATTTGTTTTCTCTTATAAAAGTATCTGACCTTCGATTGCACTTTTTTTAAAATATAGGAATCCTTAGAGGATCAAGGCTATCAAAAATATAGGATTTTCGATAAAAAATGAGAGAAACATAGGACGCTTTATACACCGTTTATGTTCAATTGTTTTGGTATTTTTTGACAGTTCCGCTCGTAAATCGTTTTAATGTAGCTGCTATAAACAGTTCGACCGTATCCAGGATCCTTGTCAGGGTTGCCACCTCTTCCGCTTTTTTGCTCTTTTTCCGCTTTTTTCCGCTCTTCCGCTTTTTTTCCGCTTTTTCATATAAAAGACTTTCGTTGTTTAATTGAAAATTTAACCATGCAAGAAACTAGATAACGTGATGTTAGACGAAAATTTCTTGGAAAATAATTTTCTAACGTATAATTCTATACAACTCGTGAAAAATTTTCGCTTCACATGATAGATTTTCCAATAAATTTTTCTAGTGAAACACATTTCGTGTTCATGTTGGCCTCCACTATGAAATACATTCACCTGGATTTGAAATGCCAGTAAAGAAAAGAAAATTTCTTTCAAGTTCTTATTCATTTGTTAATATAATAGATGAAAGCATAGCCACATTCGACAGCTGAATGTAAAGAACAACATTATCCTCTTAGACTTGTAAAAAGCGAGCTTTATTTTTTGGATTGTACGTTTTTCGGGTCAATGTTT